ATTGGAGCAAAGTCCTTTTACAAGGCTTAAATATCTCTAGAGAGGAAGATATTTTCAGGTAGAAAACCTAAAGTCCCGTCTTCTATTGCAAACAATCCATTGAAAGGATAACAACACAAACAAAGTTTCAGCTGGAAAAAGTCTTGCTTAGCTGGAGATACTGGGAACACCACCCTCTGATAATGTATGAAAAACATATCTTGACAAATCTGGATTGCTCTTGGGATTAATTTTGGATGCCCCAAGTTTACTGCTGATAAGCTGCTTGTTACACGACAATTCTTGCGAATAGCTTCACTTCTAACATGCCCCAAGCTATCTGGTTGATGAGGAGAAATCGTCTCAAGAGGATTTTACAAAAGACCTGGCATTCACCATGCTCTGGTGTCTTCAAACTCTTAGAGGAATTCATCAAATCTCGACGTGATTGCCCCGGATTGACTGTAGTTGTCACAACAAGGTCTTCAAATTTTGCCCCAAAAGAGTAAACAAGTTGGGAAAGCAATAATTAGGAGAAGCAACATGTCCGTGCTTAAGGTCGTCAGGTGACATGCCCCTGCATATGATTTTTTCTTGAAATGATCCGCCAATTACTCAACAGAGCTTCAGTCCTTAAGAATAGACTCATCACTGGTGCTTATATGTGAGTTTCCTTGATATCAAACAAATGTTTTGCAGTTAGAAAATTTTATTATGAGAATGAAAATTCTAATGCAACAGTTATGTAAGTCTTGAAGATTTTGAAAAGATATCGCACAAATTTTGCGAGTTAGAGCATCATTTATTTTTGTATAGGAAAAACATATGATACCAACATAACTATTTAGAACATTCATGGGAGTCAGGAACACTATCTCATTGAAGTATGCTTTCAAAATAACCTTGCTTCAATTAGGACTTTTGAAGGTTGTAATGTGGTCTGGTTCATGGTTTTAGAAAAAAAGATTTAAGGCTCAAAATATTTGGTGCCCACCCCCTTCATGATGTTCTCCAATCCTATGTTCAGTTAATTCAAAATGAGCGTTCATTTCTCAAAAGGATTTTGTGACGATTAAGGAAACGACGAGGCTTTCGGAGTAGAAACCACCCTCATGTCTTCGTGTTTGTAGTCACCAATTTGTTCTTTGTTGAGGACTTTTCTTTGCAGTCCTTTTCTTTGCGATTTTTATTTTCCCTAACTTTTGCCTGAACTAATTCTTTTGAATTGATAGTCCAGCGGGATGCCTTAATTTTGCCTAAGTCACACGTTTTCATGTTTTTTGACTTAGCAGGCTTTTTCTTTTTCTTGATTTTTGACTTTTTGAACAAAATGTGTGACATTAGCTTGTCTTTGCTTATTGAGAGGATTGTGATTGCCTCGTTTCTTGATGAATGAGGGATAACATTGTGGTTCCACATCCTCTAGCTTCATTATACATGAAGGATAGCCCTCGTAGTTTCTCTTCAAAAAACATCTTCCTTATGAATTTCGAACACTCAGTCAGATTAACTAAAAAACTACCCTGCCCCAGGTTAAAATTCAAGGTTTTTTCGTATAGAAAAGAAACTTCTGCTTCAAAGGCTCAAAAGGGGTTAGCAAGGGATTATCTTCCTTATATCTCCGGTGTTTAGGGATTTGAAACAATGCCTGTACATCATCAGCAAGATTTTATCCAAAAGCAAACAACCAGAGATTTTGTGTTCTTTAGATCATCATCCTCCCTTCAATCTCTGCCTAGGCAAGAGAATGAGCAACAATTTGGTATCATAATGCAAAAAGAAATTTAAAATTTGAAAACAAATATGAGTGAAACGAATGAATTTCTTCAAGACAAACATACTCATTGTATTAAGATAATCATTAAGATGCAAACAAGTTCTTACATGCAAACAATGTTTTGATAAACAAGAAAAAATTACAAAAAGCATAAATAAGTTAATACTCTAGGAAGGCTTTCCATCTGGACTTGAATTACCGAAAACATTCTTCAAAAATCAAAGTCACCATCAATCGTGTTTATTCTTCGGTGCATGCTTGATTTGAACTTCAAAACCAACGTCCTTGAATGACAAGATACCACTTCTGACCAACTTCTGAACCTCAATCTTCAAAGCAAAGCAACCCTCCAAGTCATGCCCAGGAGCACCTTGATGAAAAGTACAAACCAAATCAGCTTTGTAGTACCAATGTATCTTCTCAGGAACCTTCAGTGGAGGTCGGGTCTGAACCAAATTCCTCTGCATCAGGATAGGGAACAACTCTGTATAGGTAATTGGAATTGGATCAAAATGGGTTTTCCTTTGATTAGGAACTTGCTGATTCTGTTGATGAATAGGAGAAACATGATGATTCTGACAATGATTATTTCTTCCTCTGGTTCTCTTCTTGGAAAAGTTATTATCAAACTTCTTCACACCCTTAGCTGAGCTACCATCTTCATATGAACATCCTTTCCCAACATCTTCTTCTAGACGCACTCCCACATTCACCTTGTCAGGAAAGTCATTAGGTGCATTAATTATCATCTTCTCATAAATGAATGATTTTAGAGTTTCAGTGAAGATTTTTATCATTGCTTCCTCCCTCCTAGAAGGATTGACTCGGGCGGCAACCAGAATTTCAACCAATACCAGTTAAGTGCTCCATACTAGCTTTTAAATTAGTCACCTCTCTGCGGAGTTCAGAAATCTCTTGCTTGATATTCTCCATTGTTCTCTTAGCGCGAGTGTTGTACTGGTGAGACCAAAGGAAAAATAAGACTCGGAAAAAGACCTTTGAAAGTGAAACAAAAAATGTAGAATGATGTATGATATGCAAAAGAGAGTTTTTATTTGATTTTCAAGGAACTCAAGATATTAAGTTGTAAACATCAAAGTATGAAGATAGAAGATGAATTTTAAATTGGCTCCAAACATTGATCAAGTTATCGTCAAGATCAATCATCCATTTTGGTGGACTAGGGTTTTCGCCCTATCAACACCCAAGATCCATTGAGCTTGACGAAACTTGTGATGTTTACAAAGAAAGACCTCCAAATTCCTTCAAAGTCAAGTGAAAAAGGTTTTATGGATGCATGAATGCATGGCTATGCAACAACCACAAGTAAGGTCACAAATAAAGTCGGAAGGTTTAACGTCTCGAGCATGGAGTCAAAGTAAGGAACACCCCCAAGGTATGTACTAACGGTTTAATCACACCTGTAGAACAAGGTTCTAAGAGTTCCCGGAGTCTACATTCCTCCTTCGGATATTACCAACGTCTTGATTACTCAATAATCAGCAATATTCTCAAGAGAAACTCATCCGAGCGTAGCATCGCGTAACAATTACTTCCGGATTACTCCATTATAATCTCCGCGCTACACCTAAAAGGCCAAGATGGGTTAGGGTTCTACGGTTCCCAGCTTCTCTGACTCCCAGGTCGAAAATAATAATGTCTTCCCGATTACTCGGTAAACAAATATTACGTTCAAAAGGGCCTTCCACTGAGAGGGGGATCTCATGCCTCCTTCTTCGGGATTACTCCCTCAAAGTTAACATGACTATACCGCCCGTCCTATTCCTAAGTGTAACTTAGTCCGGGTATAGGACTTGTCCTTTGCAAAAACCCAAATAATATATCACAATTAATCAAACAAACAAGTAATAATAACAAAAACAAATATGACAAATTAGGCTTAACCCACTTTAGGGATGGACCAGCAAGAGGTCAATCTTTCCCCAGCAGAGTCGCCAATTCTGTAGCGGTGAAAATCGGAGATCAAGCTATTAATTAACTTGACTCACAAAAGCAAGAGTCGCCACCGCGCTTTATTATTTCCAAGGGAAAAGGGAAAAGAGCGAAATAAAACCCTAAAATATGCAATGTAAAATAATACTTAAAAGTAATAAAATACAATGCGCTTTTGAAAGAGATCGAGAGTTCGGGGGTTGGTTATACAATGGGAAGGTATTAGCACCCAATGCATCTGCGGTACTCCGCAGGAACCTTTTGAAATATCTGTTTTTTGGTTTAAAATTGTTTGTTTGATTAAAATGATTTGTTTGGCTAAAAGATGGGTATGGACGAGATTTTGAAGATACGACGACCTAGTGTCGAAGTTTTGACTTAAAAGGTGTGAGTTTGAAAATGGAGTCTTTTGGGAAAATTATCTTAAGTTTAGCAACATAGTAAACAAGCAAAAAAATGAATGAAGGGGTTCGCGCAATCGTATGAGATAGGTTCGGTGACATGAAGTCAACAAATTTAATTCTTTCCCTTGGAGTTAAAACCACAGACAGATAAATAAGCTAAGAGTATATCAAACCTCAGGTGAAAATAAATCACGAGCCGACAGCGTCAAAAAAAAACCAGATGTAAGATAATACTCCCAGCAGCGAATAAAGCGCAATGAACCACAAGCGAGAAGTGCAACGCGTGAAAATAAATCACGGAAAAAAAGAAATCGTGGATGACGCTCACGGTATAAGATTCCCTACATCACATGAAAAACTCCAACAAACAGATAAACAGGGTAACAGAGAAATAATATGAACATCTCATGTGAAATAAAGAATCAAGCTATGGGACGGGAATGCGTCAAATCGAAATCCATAAAATAAACTGGTCAATGAAGTTTATACATCCATTATATATTCGAAAATTAAATTGAGTTCAAAATGTGAAATCACAATGAAATGATATAAAATAGACAACACAACTTAAATTTATTTACAAGATAAAGTTCTAACTAAATCTAAAACTCAAAATTTCCTATTAAATAAAACAATAAGAAAATTAAATCACAAATTGAATTTATTTACAAACCAACAAATTAATTACACATTACATAATGTACTAAAGTAATCTAAAAAAACAAAAGATAAACATTATTACTTCTAAATTTAAAATCTAATGTCTTAACTTTTTATTTATTTTTGGATAAACTTTTGAATATAAAAAAAAACAATAAAACTAAATTAAAAGAGTGAATATACAAAAATGATAACTAAATTAAAAAAGAATAAAAGAAACAGAGCCACTACATGATTGAGGAGTATGTGCAGAAACTTACGCGGAAACGGAGGGTGATAGCTGGCGGAATCGTACCAGTCAAATTGTTGACATGAAGAAGCAATTTTTCCAATTTCAAAAGCTTACCAATATCCTTAGGAATAGAACCTGTCAACTGATTGGGGTAAAGCTCCAAAACTGTGAGATTTGCAAGATTCACAATTCCATCACCAATTGTTCCATCAATTTTATTCAATGGCAATGATATTTCAATGAGTGAAACAAACATCAAAAACATCAATTGGGATATTCCCTGATAGTAGATTGAAACCTGCTCTAAATCTCACAAGCTTAGAACATGCACCTAAACCAGTCTGAATAGCATCGTCAAAATCATTGGAAGAAAAATCCAAGAATCTCAAAGAAGAACTCTTATCTACACCAACACAAAAGTTTGAAACTGGAATATGACCTGTGAAACTGTTGTTACTAACATTGAAAGATATCAAATTACCTCTTGAGAAGCATCTACCACAAGGAGAGCACCCTCACATGCAGCAAGCGATCGAGAAACCTCGTACGAGAAGTCAACGTGTCCTGGAGTATCTATCAAATTTAAGCAATATGGTTTATTTTCAAACACATAGCGCATACGAGCTGCCTGAAGTTTAATAGTGATGCCTCTTTCCCTCTCCAAATCCATGTTCTCAAGAAACGGTTCCTTCATCTCTCGCTGAGGAACGGTGCCAGTAACCTTGGAGAGACGATCCTGACCGTCTTTGGCGGTGGATTCGGAATCGGAGAGTGTATCGGAGGCAGCAACGCGGCAGAAGGCGGAGGAGTCGGTCGAAGGTGGCGGTTGATGGTGGTTCGAGGAAGAGAAAATGGTGAGAGGATGAATGGGAAAACGGAGGATGAAGAGAAATTCGACGGAGGGGATGGACGTTGTTCACGGAAGCTAGCGGAATTTGAAGTGAGGAAACGAAGGATAGTGTGGAAGTTGCTCGATGACAGTGTTGAGGTAGCAGGGGGTGTTCGCGGTTAAGATGGGTGAACGGATTAATGATGAGGGTTAGAGGAAGAAGATTGTGTGAAGGAGGCTGAACGAAATTGAACAGGAGAAGGGAGAAACGAATTTCGTTTCAATTTTTTGTTTTTTCGTTCAAATTTCTGAGTGTGTCTCAAGCTGCTTCCCAGTTCAAACCTCTACCACCTTGCTTGTTAATTCCTCGAACAAACTTCTATTGGGTGATGTTAGAACATCCATAATAATCGATGAGGCTCACTGAGAGTACTGAAGGCCATTCTTCTTTCAGGTTGCTTCGATAGTCCTTCCTCGTGGAAGGAAATGCTTTTGAAACCACAAATCCTGTGGAGAACGGAAGAGCAGAACCCTCGCTATGAAGCAAATGAGCTAGAGGCGGAGACTCGGCAGTGAGGCATGTGGGGAGTTGAAGAGCAAAGGGATTATTGCGTGATTGAGCAGAATGGGTTTCACGGTCTGTGTGAGATGGAAGTAGCCGGTTCGTTGGTAGGAAAACGAAAGGGAGTTTTATGATTGTTTCTTTCTCGAGAGAGGAAGTAGAGGAAAGGAAAGGGATGGGTGTGTTTTTGTTTTTACCCCCCCAAAGTGATGTTGATGATGGTGATTGGGTAATAGATGAAAGGGTGTATGGTGGTGTGATCCTCAATTTCATCCAAGAGCCAATAGGAATATAGTATTGTGTGTATCGATCCTCAATCTCATCCAACAGCCAATAGGAATAGAGTATAGTGTAACAATATATTTTTGTGACCAAATAGTCCTTAAATGATAAAAATAACCAAAAAACTAAATGTATTAAAATTAACTCAATTAGAATGATTTTTTTTTGAATGTTTTATGAATAAAGAATAAAGACCCAAAATGACCGAAAATGATAAAACACGGACGAAAATTTATCCGAAAAAATAAAATGAACACATTAAAATAATCTACATGTCACAAAGATTAAAGAAAAAATATTCAAGAAGTCAAAAATCAAAATAAAATAATAATAAAATATCAGACTATACAGACGTTTAAGGTTAACAACAAGACTTCGAACTGTACCGAAAAATAAAGCGAGCATACCGTCATAATCTACGCGAAGCGCAGATTCATAAAATGATCGGTAAAAGGTGAAAACTTGAAATATTTTCTCGCTACTTTCCCGCATAGTGTCGAATCGCTTTTAACAGTCTGTCTATAAAACCAAAATATTTTTATTGTCAACATATAAACAACTTGGAGCAATGCAACAAATGAGTAAAGAGATCAAAATGAATGAAGTGAAATGTCGAGTATTTTACAACTGAAAGACGTTGCAAACTTTGATTTAAACTGACTTTTTTTGGTCAACTTAAATACGACTAACGATGCAAAATGTGATGAATGAAGATATTTACTAATGATTGTGACCAAATGACAAAATATGGTATGAATGTGCGACTGAAAAATTAGGGGAGAAATTTAGGGTGCAACAGTTGTGCCTTGATGAATCAGTCTTCGAGAATCCACAATCAACCGTACTTCTGACTTGGGAGACTCAAAACCTTAATTGAGGCGAGACACCTGATGCTCTTGATTCAGACTTGTCTCTGCACATGACACAAAAGAAAACATGAACATACACCTTTGTATGCGATTAGAAATTAGTGATACATATGCTAAAAATGTTCAAAACACTTGACAATCTTCGCATAGTCAAAGCTCGAAGGTGAGACGTTAAAACCGACCGTATTTCGTGACCTTGACTTATCTTAAAAAATGCAAAAATAAAAATGGGATCTTAGGTCAAAAATTGGGGTACAACAACAAGCACTACAACAACATCTGAAGAACCTCTCCAGAAAAGACTATACAGAAGCAGCCTAGCTCATCCTGAAGACAAAATTCTGGGAAATAAGGAAGATCCAATCAGAACAAGATCCACATTCAAAAATTCTGAAGAATCTCTCATGGGATTGGTATCTCATATTGAGCCAACCACCATTGATGAAGCTCTTCTGGACAACGACTGGATACTGGCTATGCAAGAGGAATTAAATTAATTCACCAAAAATGACGTATGGGATCTGGTTCCCAAACCAAAAGAGTTCAATGTCATTGGAACAAAATGGGTATTCAGAAATAAACTGAATGAATAAGGAGAAGTCATCAGAAACAAGGCACGAATGGTTGCATAAGGTTATAGTAAGTAAGAGGGGATAGACTATACATAAACCTTGCCCCAGTCTCCAGGTTAAAATCTATCAGACTCTTAATTTCTTTTGTTGTGAATAATTGTATCACTCTTTATCAGATGGATGTCAAAAGTGCATTCTTAAATGGATACATTGATGAAGAAGTTTATGTGCACCAACCCCCTAGGTTTGAAAATTCCAAACATCTAGAATACATTTTCAAACTAAAGAAATCACTATATGATCTGAAACAAGCTCCCAGAGCTTGGTATGAAAGACTAAGTAGCTTTCTGTTAGAAAAGGAATTCACCAAAGGGAAAGTGGACACAACCTTATTCTGTAAGTCATTTAAGAATGACATTTTAGTTTGTCAAATTTATGTAGATGATATAATATTTGGATCTACTAAAGCTTCTATGGGAAGAGAATTTACTAAGTCTATGCAGGCAGAGTTTGAAATGAGCTTGATGGGAGAACTCAGATTATTTTTGGGCATTCAGATCAATCAAACTCCAGAAGGAACCTACATACACCATAGAAAATACATCAAAGAACTTCTGAAGAAATTTGACCTATCAGAGTGTAATCCATCTAAGACTCCAATGCATCCCACATGCATTCTGGAAAAGGAAGAGGTAAGTAAAAAGGTAGAACAAAATATCTACAGAGGTATGATTGGTTCTCTCCTATATCTTACAGCTTCAAGACCTGACATTCTATACAGTGTATGCTTATGTGCTAGATTCCAATCAGATCCTGGAGAATCTCACTTAACAGCTGTTAAGCGGATTTTCAAGTATCTGAAAGGTACTACTAATCTTGGTTTGTTTTATAGAAAAACCAGTGAATACAATTTAGTAGGGTACTGTGATGCTGACTTCGCTAGAGACAGAGTAGAAAGAAAAAGCACTTCTAGAAGCTATCAGTTTCTGAGAGAAAATATGATCTCATGGACCAGCAAGAGGAAATCAACAATTGATTTGTCAACAGCTAAAGCTGAATACATAGCAGTTGCTGGATGCAGCACACAAATGCTCTGGATGAAAAGTCAGCTTGAAGACTTCAACATATTTGAGAGTAACATTCCTATATTCTGTGATAATACTTCTGCAATATGTTTATCTAGAAATCCTATTTTGCATTCTAGGGCTAAGCATATAGAAATAAAACATCACTTTATTAGGGACTATATTCAAAAAGGAATCCTTTCCTTAAAATTTATTGACACAGACCATCAATGGGCTGATGTCTTTACTAAACCACTTTCTGAAGATAGGTTTAATTTCATTCTGAAACATCTCAACATGAAATTATGTACAAAATAAGAGTTTTATTTATATATTCATCAACCCTCTGAATTTTATGTTTTCTTTGTGAACATCTAATCAAAAATTGTTCAGAAGTTAGAAGGACAGTTGCATCAGAATCTATCTAAGAAGACCTGAGTAGTTCATTTCAAAGATAGAGGCGTGCAGTTCACATTATCAACATTTGTCATCCTCTCACAAGCGTCCTTCTAAGGCTGAACACGCGTTCAAATTCTGAAGGGTCTAAAGCTTTGATTGGGTGCATTGAGATGCATGTCATTGGTAACGGTTTCATATCTCCACGCCATCCCCTATTTTCAGGATTCATAATTACTGTGTAATCATTATTATTTTTTCTCTTTCTTGTTGATTAAGTTTTCAAATTGATTATAAATACGCATTCACTATCACTTTCACTTCTTCTCGCTTCTATTTCATCTCTAGTTTTTGTTTGCAAAAACCCTTTTTCTTAGAAATCTCAAACAGTCAGTGTGAACAATGGCTTCATCTTCAAGCGCTAAAAATCTTCAATGTTCTCATGGTTCATCTTCATGAACAGCAGAACAATATGAAGAACCGTCAAGAACCTTACTTACTCCAATTGATTCTCTTGAGGTTCTCTGTGAGCTTATCATTGATTTTGAAAGCATGAAGGAGAATGGGTTTGATCTTAATGCAGATGTAGCTATTCAAGGTTAGAACAGGTATTTCGATCGTCTTCTAGGTCCAGTGTTCCCAATTTTGGTAAAGGAATTATGGATTCATGCAACCTCCTATAATCACCAAGTAACGTCTTATGTAATGGGGAAGAAAATTGCAATCACTGAAGATTTGATTGCAAAGATGATTGGTTATAATGGCGGAGGAATCCGTTGCAGTGACATGGTTGAGAAATGTTATGACCTAAAAGCCATATCAAGAGTAATATTCACTTCTGGGCAGCCATCCAACAAGATTAAATATCTGAAAGACTACTTCAGAATCTGGGCAAAGACCATTATGGGCTGTATCAACCACAGGAAGCCAACAAGATCTCCTGACTACATAAATATTGATCAATAATTTCTGCTATACTTCATTGCGAAGAAGACAAAAATAAACCTTCCTTACTTGCTTTTCAATCATCTGAAAACAAGCATGAAGGAAACAAGAGAAGATGAAAGAACCAAGAGAGATTAGATACCTCTGGGCAGGTTAATTTTAGATATTTTGACTG